GATTCTTGACGTATTATGTATGTGTGGCCATCCTTCTTCGTTGCTAATGGAAGTCCGTAATGGATCGTGGAATAATAGTAGGTGCATCTAGTGCAGTACAGAAATTCTTGTCTACTTATGAGCGACAGATGCTTAAGCTGATGTGATAATCCGTACGTATATCAAACGACGTTTTTAAATCTATACTAAAGCAAATAAAAGACAGCAATGAGATTAAAATTTAAACATTTTGTCTAATGTTATTGAAATTTAAATTGTGAATTACGATAAGATAAGACAAAATGTTTATTAAATAAAACTAGTTTAAACCGATTAATGCACGAACTTTATTTATTTATTGACGTTTCGCAGCCTTTTCAGGTCTGCATCGTCAGAGTAATGATTTTTTATTTATTTTGTCGAGCTACCTTCAAAATACTTTTATTGAGCGTTCGGATATTTCATTGGAAGATTTTTAAAATTTAATTGTCTATGTATGAATTTATTAGTTAATTTAATTAATAAAGTACTTTATTTAAAATTCTTTTTTGAAATTTATATATTTGACCCTAACTACCGTAAACTACCACCGGTTCCAAAATTGGGAGAGATTTCTGAGAAGAACCGGCGAAACAAACTCAGAGAGGCTTTCTATCTCCTTCTTATGTTAAATCATGCAAACAGAAAGAACTAATAGCATCTGTTGGTCTTGCATAACCTAAGAAACAAATTCAAAATGTTTATATTATAAAAATTGATCCTTAAATTAGAGACGTGACTTTTTATAAGATTGATGACAATGTAATGCAAGGAAGTGAAATGATTACATTCAAAAAGTTTAACCACTCGAGCAATCAAAAGTCTTATAAAATTGCGCATAAATCGTCTGACTTTATTGTTTATACTAAACACTTATTTTATAGCTTTTAACGGGATTGTTACCATGTACCTTATTTTTTATGAGTCTCCGATATTTGAAATTCCAGGTGACAATCCCATTATTATCTATAAGTGACCATGAAAGTTTAAAACAATATAAACACTTATTATTAGAATATATTTAAAGGAATGAACTTTTCAAGCGTGTTTGGTTGAGAGCGAAACAATTTGAAGACGACGTGCTCTTCCAGGAACTTGAGGCATAGACAATTCAATGACGAAAGTAAAATGATACGGGTACATAAATATTTATGGTGACCATAAATAGACTACGGTGTATTTCATTCTGGCACACACAATTCAGGAAAATTGAGACGGCTTGCTGGAGTCAGTCTCTGGCACATTGTTAGCAGAGTTACGTCATGAGTTCAAGCGATGAGTCTATTACGACAATATTTTTTCTTTAAATACAAAGTGTGCCCGCGACTTCGTCTGTGTAGAACAATTCGTTAACCATACATACTTGTACCCTCCCATATTTCCATCCCCTTTGTAGAGAAAGCGCATATTGAGTCACTAGTGAGCCACTAAACGTATCCACAAGTTGCGATCGAGTTTTTTAATACATTTTCTATATGTTGTGTATGTGTATGTTTGATTTGAGGAGCTCGATGGCGCAAGTGGTTAGCGCAATCGGCTGCGATCGTTGAAGTTAAGCAACTTTCGCAGTGGTCGGTCATTGGATGGGTGACCAAAAATTTACTATCTCGAGCTCCTCCGTGCTTCGGAAGGCACGTTAAGCCGTTGGTCCCGACTGCATCTGCAGTCGTTAGCACCCACCAAGCCGCACTGGGCCCGCGTGGTGGGTCATGGCCCAATCTCCCTATTCCATCCATAGGGTAGGCTTGTGCCCCAGCAGTGGGGACATTAATAGGCTAATGATGTATATGTAGTAGCACTGCCTTAGTGTCGCCGCACACGGGCCACCGACCACAACCACTAAACGCCGCCACCGGCATATTTCTTGTAGTTTTCATACAATTTATATGGACTCGCCACACACGGTACGCCGGTGGCCGCCACACGCTACAAATCGTCGTTGCTCGCTCCTTGTGGCCCGCACCGGCCACTTAATGCGCCGATACAAAACGCCACCACACGTCACTCGCGCGATTCCCCACTCCTCTCTCCCTTACCTTAGTCGGCCGCTGTAGCGCGCTTTAGCCACTTTAGTAGCCGCTTCTAGCTTCTCGTGGCGGCGTTTGTGGCTGTGGCGTGTGGCCCGTGGGCGGCGACACTTAGTGTGCAGAACTAACGTCAGATAAAGCGCATGGCACACAGATTGCGTGCCATCAAAGCAAATATCAAGGCAAAAGTGAATATCAACTCGCGTCAGTACACTTCAACGCACCGTGTTGTGAATACGTCCCGTAAATATTAGGTTTTTTATCAAATCTGTGCCGTCTTGTTCAAATATTATAAAAACACAAAGACAAAAAAGTCTTTACTGTTGTCTTCGTATTTGCTTTGCTTTAGGAGCTTGATGGCGCAGGTGGTAAGTGCGTTCGGCTGCGATCGTTAAAGTTAAGCAACTTTCGCAGTGGTTGGTCATTGGATGGGTGACCAAAAATCTTCTTCCTCCGTGCTTCGGAAGGCACGTTAAGCCGGTGGTCCCGGCTGCGTCTGCAGTCGTTAGCTTCCGCCAAACTGCACTGGGCCCGCGTGGTGGCTCATGACCCAATCTCCCTCTTCCATCCATAGGGAAGGCCTGTGCCCCAGCAGTGGGGACATTAATAGGCTGATGATGATGATAAGCTTTGGTGGCCGCACTCGAGTGTTCCAACTGATCCATCTGCCATTTGTTCTGCAATCTGGGATCGACTCAAACTAAGTCCTTTCCTTTGACTCAAATTGTCTATTTACCTTCTAAACCAGTTCAAGGGTTCATACGTGAAGAGGTAACAGACAGACAAACACACATTATAATATTATTATGGATAGAAATATATGCCATGACATTTAATACACAGGTTATTGACATTCATACATTAAAATCAATTTATTTATTTCTTCAGGAAGTAATAAAGTATACATATCTGTTAATTAATTATCAAAATTTAAAACACCCAATTTCCGATATTTTTTTGTTTGATAAAGTTCGTGTTTTTATTGCCTTTTATTTTAGTACTTTATGGTCGTTATCATACTCATCGACAAGCTGTATCATATGCTAAAATCACAATATTCTTATTTAATAAGAAACAAATTATTGCTTAATTATAAAAGCTAAACCTCTGCTGTGTTTGCAATTCATCTGACTGATTAGCGAAAAGCTGAGGGAAAATTAAGTCAGTCTAAATTCCATTATTCACTATTAATTGTTTTACGAAAATTAAGTAAAAGTTAAACAATGTATGGTTAAAAATGTGATAAAACTGTTAATTAATGTTTTTTCACTGGTTTCAATGCTGTTTTTAAGTAATTATGTTAACAAAAAAATATTTTAGACTATGTTTTTATATTTTTTTAATCATTTAACTGCTAGATGTTTTAATCTAAAGAAAAGTTTTACTAGAAAAAAGCGCTGCCGTCCGCTGCCTGATCCGCGTGGATCTTTTTCTAGTAAAACTTTTCTTTAGATTTAAATATTTTAGACGTTAATTTGGCTGTTTAACTGTGACTGGTTCGAAAATTTTATTAGTTACTATGATATTATACATACCAACATTTAATACTAATTATAAAAACAAATTACTATATATCAGTATTATTTCTGATTCCATAATAACATCACATAATTTCACTCTTTTTTCAAAATCTGTCGAAAGTAGAATCAGTCTTATGAGCCCTTTTACAAAATTGCGCCGCTGCCGTACTGATCGGCGCGTAGGTAGATTTGCACTAGTATATATTGCATTTTACGGGTGATGTTTCGAGTCTTATAAAATAATTATTAATGAACTTATTATAAATATATATATACATATTTCAGTAGTTCAATGATGGTAGATTAGTTTTATGAAAGTTTTTGATAGTAATTCTATTTAATGCAATATCAAAATACGAGATAAACCTGCATTATTTTTTGGGAAAATTCACGCAGGTTAGATGTTTTTTTTTCTGATAATTAATGAGATGGAAAATCAAAATTATTCATCACTTTATGTTACAACAATACATATTTTTGATGTCGTAGTAATTAATTTGATCTAATTTATTGACTATTATTGAGCGATTGAGGCGTTTGAAGTTGTGCATATTATCGTTTTTTCCATAAACTAGCTGCAGTAAAACGATTAATACAAAAAAAGAAAATAGTATTTGCAAATATTCTACATTAACTTACAATTGGAAGAATAAATCCACTTTTTACTTCTATTGGAAATAGTCAAACTCTTTTTTTAGGGGGTAAACGAGGCGCTCAAAATTTACGATTTTTTGCAAAAAATGTGAAAGACTTTGAAGGCATAAGTAGAATTTGTCAAATGTTGACTAAACGAGTTTTCGCAATAGCGGATTTCAAATGTAGGTGACCGAATAGTTTATCTAAACTAACATGCTTGAGAAGAAGGTACATTAAATCGTAGAACCATGGGATATCTGCAGTCGTTAGCGCCCACCAGTGGGTTCGCGTGCTAGCCTGTGGCCCAACTTTAGTAGTATAATTAAAAAAGAAGACAAAAGAAATATTTTTATTAGCAATCGTATGCATAATACATAAAAACAGAGATTCAAACAATCAAAACAGTTAAATAATATTCCTTAAATCGTGCGTGATATATATTAGCTATTATGTTTATATTGTATTTTGAAAAATAAAAAAGTTGAAGTTAATAATAAAAGTGAGATAAAAATATACAAAAAACAAAAATGGTTAGGATGAACCAATATTAAAAATGCGAAAGTGAGTTACGCTTAAACCACTGAACAGATTTGGATGAAACTTTGGTACGCATATAGTTTATGACCTTGATTGAGACTCAGGATACTTTTCATCCCGGAAAAGGGTCGGGCTCCTGTGGGACTCTCGAAAAACTAAAGTTAACGCGTACGAAGTCACGAGCGACCGCTAGTATCCGATAATTCCGAAATTCCAAAAACGACACAACGCCTTGACATTTCGTTTCTTTCTGCACCAACAGACACGCAGTCAGTACGGTACAGCATCACCTCTGGCGACGCGGACCGCAGTTTCTCCATCGACCCCGTGAGTGGAGTCATCAAGACCGTCGCCCAGTTGGATAGGGAGACCACCGCAACATACCTCCTGAGCGTGGCAGCTACCAATGAGCGGTCGAACCATGACCAAACCCAGGTAAATATCTTTAAATAACTAATGGGAGGAGAGGAGCTCCATTGCGCGGGCGGTTAGCGCGTTCGGCTGCGATCGTTGAAGTTAAGCAACTTTCGCAGTGGTCGGTCATTGGATGGGTGACCAAAAATCTTCTATCTCCGTGCTTCGGAAGGCACGTTAAGCCGTTGGTCCCGGTTGCACCCGCCAATCCGCAGTGGGAAGAACGGTGGCAGGACCCTATCCATCCATAGGGAAGACCTGTGCCCCAGCAGTGGGGACATTAATAGGCTGATGATGATGATGATTAACTATGGGGAAAATCGCGAGCACCACAATTTACATTATATCACGTTTTATCGCGTGCAACTGTCAAACTCCGTAGTAATTTGACAGTTGAGCGTGATAAAAACGAGCGTTATAATTATAATATCGCAGTGCTTATGCTAGGGGGACAGGTGGAAGAGTTAAATCATCTTTCAAAATTGAAAATTGTCTTTAAAATTTGTTTGACTTTTACGATGTGTAATTAGATTTACACATCGTAAAAGTCAAATAAATTTTGTACCTTAAAGAAAAAAAAGTTATAATTTAAGTTAAGGTTGTTCTAAACAGAACTGACCTCATAAAGGCGCTTAACATAAATATATATATATATATATATATATATAGTAGTTTTTGTACTATGAACATGTTAAGAGATTAAACATAAACAAAGCTTATACTTTCAGTACAAATTTAAGCGCTCATCTATGGTTTCAAACAAGCATATGGCCCGACTGATGGTAAGCGGTCACCCATAGACTATAGACGATTCCGAGCCCCTACCCCGTGGAGCCCTGGAACTTAAGTCGCTGTCAGAATCACAACACCACCAAAACTAGTGTAATTTAACAGTGGTCATCTGTAAAGTGGAGATTACTTGGCTAGACGAGTAACAGCTTTTTGATCATAATTGCTTAGTCAGATAATTATGTGTTTATGCGAATTGTTAAAAGTGAAAGTTTAGCAACTTTTACAATGTTCATGCGGTCATACGATGGGTGACTGAAATTTACTATTCCTTGACTGAAACACCTCAGTGTTTAGGAAGTCTTAACAAATCGTTAGGTGCAGCTGCATTCGTATAACGCGGTAGGTTTATTTGGCGATGTCTCCTATTCCATTCATAGGTAGCCTTAACTCCAGCAATAGGAACATTAAGGCACTTTGCAGACGACGGGGCGGGGCGCGCCGGTCAATTTCGCCGCGAATAATAGCACAAAGTGAATCCTATACTTCAAACGCACACAGAGGGCAAAAAGACCGCGCCGCAGGTGCCCGGCGGGCAGTGGCGGCGCGGCATGGCCGCGGCTGCCCGCCGTGGATCATACAAACCAGTTTATATGCAGTAACGCAGACGGCGGCGCGCGGCGGTCAGCTCAGTCTGCGCCACGCGCTTATTAGTGATGGACTATTCACTAGAACGAACGTCCTAAACTGACCGCCTCTGCCCGTCGTGTGCTTTGTGTACGCGGCGCGGGCAGCCGCAGACATCGACGGGCAGACGCGGTCTTTATTGCTTCGCGGACAAAATGCCCGCCCCGCCCCGTCGTCTGCTCAACGCCTAATAGGCTAATAACAATTGTGCTTTTTTCCTCAGGTTCAGATAACCATCGAAGATGTAAACGACAATGCTCCCGAGTTTGGCACATCATCAGTAAGAGTTTCCGTGGCTGAGTCAGCCAGCATAGGATCAGTGGTTTACGCTGCGAAGGCTACTGATGCGGACGAGGGCAAAAATGGACAAGTTACATACCTCCTGGTTTCTGCCACTGGACCACCAAACACTTTTGCTGTGAACAATCAACATGGATTAGTTACATTATTGAGGTAAGCGAAAAGGCTAATGCTTGCAATTTCATACAAATTGGTCACGCCACAATACGAAAAATATCATGGCGCAGATGAGCGGTTATTAACAAAAAGGAAATACACAAAACACGAAAATTTTGAAGGGAAAGTGTAGGAAAGGGGGTACCTGTTGGTTTGTGGGCTGGTTCCGTTTCATGTCTGTTCTTCCTCTCTTGGAGAAATGTTCGCCTGTGGCACACCACTGCTTTTTTCACTATGCACTTATATTTGCAGGCCCGTGGCGGAAATATTTACGTACCTATATGTTAAATCTATAATAACAAATTACAATAAAAGAACATTTTTTTTTTATATTACTTAGTCCCAAAAATGTAGATATGTGATAAATTATGGTAATTCTTATGTATTTTTCCTTTTTTAGACCTTTGGATTACGAAAACCTGGTGCGTCATACTCTAGTCATATCTGCAAAGGACGGTGGTTTTCCAACGCTTAGTGGCAATTTGACCCTGGTGGTGGACGTCCAAGATGTCAACGATAATCCACCGATGTTTGAACATGACGCTTACAGTGCAAATGTGATAGAATCCGAAGCTGTGAACACTAAGGTATATAAAATATCTATGTATTAAATAAATTCCCTGAACTCTCCTAAATTATATTGCCAATAGATATAATCTATCTTTATCTATTTATGCATCATTTTAACATTACACTTTCTTATACATAGTTGCATCTTTACAAAGATACAATAAATAAAACTGATTTACCTTACAGATATTGGAAATCCAGGCCGTTGATAAAGATACGGGGAACAATGCACGTATAACCTACCGCATAATATCTGATGGCAACGAAAGCGCAGAATTTTTCAAGGTCCAACCTTCCACGGGATGGGTCTATCTTGCTAAACCACTAGATAGAGAAACAACGGCTCGCCACAGAATGACAATAACAGCGTCTGATAATGGTCTACCACCATTGTCGGCCTCGGCGACACTTGTGATTAACGTCCTCGATGCAAATGACAACGATCCAGAATTCTCCAAGTCCGCATACGAGTTTCATGTGGAAGAAAACGGGAAAACTGGCGCTCTCGTTGGAAAAATATCCGCCACAGATGCTGATCTTAACGAGAATGCAGTGGTTAGATACAGTTTGTTTCCGTCCAATACAAGTTTCAACATAAACCCAGTAACTGGTAAGACAATAAATGTATTATAAATTTTTAAGTTATAAAAATAAATTTCAAATGACAAATTAAACAAATCTATTTGTCTGCATTTTATAACTAAAAGTTTTAATAGCTTAAGAAGTAGTAAAACAAATAAACAGGTTTGGAATCGGTAAACGGCAACTGAATAATTTTCATAGCGTTTAATTCAATAACACTGCTATTTTACCGTAATCCCTACGAGTCTTTGGGTTCTCGTCCCACTGTTTGATCAAGTATGGAATTATTCCGGCGACCGCCACCCGGCCACTCGACGTTTTGTTTATCCTGCCGGCACTTTGAAAGCTAAAACCAAAAATATGTTGTGCCTCAAGACTCATCGACTAGCCAAACAATATGAACAAACATGACCACGTTAATATCTGACAATGAAAGGGAATAGGAAGCATCTAAAATCATGTTTGCTAACGTCCTTCCCACGAAACTCGCAGTTTTGTTCAGATCTTTTCTGTTTTTTTGTTTCTTTTTACTTTTTACACAGACTAGGTATGACAAAACCCGAAGTGGATTCGGCGCTTTTAAGGAAAGATTAACCAGCTCAAACTCGCAATCAGAGCTAACTTTATCGTGCGCCGAATCGATTCTTATCATTGGGAATCGTGTGAATTTTAAAACTCTCGATATGGGCTTCTGCAAAAAAGGGGGTGGCACTTCGTTATCGACCTTATAACTGACTGATGAATGGTAGATCGTTCCGTCTCAATTCGGCTTATCGTCGATCAACACCCTGCAAGCTAGTTAGTGAATCTTTACCGTGAACTCTTTAGTGTCGCGCAAGAATGCGTAAATCATTCGCCATGACGTCTGTATGTGGTCCCGATTTGGAGATAGACGACTTGGACAGGTGCTTTAATAACGTTTTCGGAGGAATAAGTTGAACGCAATATACTCGTATAATAACTTTGATTTTTAACAAATATTTTTACCACTCAATTATTATATTTATAATATAGAAACGTAGCGATTTTAAATCAATTACTATCAACACCGTTACAAACGAACTGCGTACAGCCATTATGGTAAATGGTAGTTAGGACGAAGGTATATACTACCTAATAAGAGAAAAAAATCACATTAAGCATTTCCGTAACCGAACACCCAGAAAGGGGTCTCATTAAATTACAGACTTGATTATTAATCAATCCTTTATGGCAATTTTTATTCGAAAGGTCACACTACGAGTCCGACCAGAAAACCACAACGGGAGGCAGCCGTAATGAATTTATGCGCGTCAATTGCGAGTTATAAACGTCGTCGCGCGCGCATGCGTCGTGACCCGCCATTAACTATTATTAAAATATTGCTATGTAGGAGCCTGGCTATTCTCTCCCATGTTTTATTACAAGCTTTACCAGAGCCAGATACTGTCGTCGCGTATTTAAATCGCATACGTTACAAATGTACGTGTAGGACGATGCATGGACCTACAACTCGTTCCGTTGACGGATACCTTTTATTTTCATCTGTTTCTCAAATGAATTATAGGCGTAAAATGTTGCTGGAATCTGACTCCGCACCGTGTGACTATGAATTGGAATAATGAAACATTGACCCTCTCGTTAAATTAGATCTATAATCGTAATCATTCATCATCATCAGCCTATTAATGTCCCCACTGCTGGGGCACAGGCTTCCCTATGGATGGAATAGGGAGATTGGGCCATGACCCACCACGCGGGCCCAGTGCGGGTTGGTGGGTGCTAACGACTGCAGATGCAGCCGGGACCAACGGCTTAACGTACCTTCCGAAGCACGGAGGAGCTCGAGATACTAAATTATGGTCACCCATCCAATGACCGACCACTGCGAAAGTTGCTTAAATTCAACGATCGCTGCGGAACGCGCTAACCACTTGCGCCATCGAGCTCCTCGAGATAATCGTAATGGTCAGGCGAAAACTTTGTTCTAAATACCTATTTGTGTAATAATATTCCACAAAACAAAAACAAGGCTCGATTCCAATATTTGTGAGAGATGAAAATAACGATGAATTTTTTTAGAGCCCGTTTCACATCGCTCATTACGGCAGTCTCTGCCACATCTTATTATCTTCTTCTTATCTTCCGACAGTTGTCGGTATTTCTAAAGAGAACTCACCGTTAAGGGGTCTCAAAGGTCATTTTCGCATATAGGTGATTTATAAAATCGCGTTTATCGCCCTTCCCAGTTTCTGTCATCATGATTTTTAGGTTCCCAATACGGAGAGGACCTTTGGATAATCATAGGTATTCTGCCGCGGGCGATCTCTTTTATGAATGCCTAATTTCGGGTTCGGACTCCATGATAATCGATTTGAAATTAACAAAATTCTTACGCTGCTTATTGGCAGACTTACCGGCGGTAAATTTACTTAGGACGTGATCAGTATTCATTGTAGGTTCTGAAATTGAGTCTAAATTTATTATGCCAATTACGTATAAAATATCAGTTATTGATCAGATAAAAATATCTTCAGAGTACATTAACAAGTTTTCCATTAATCATTTATTGAACTTATTTTGTTTGTAACAGGTATAATAACGACCAAAGAAGTTTTGGACCGCGAGTTCAAATCATCATACAGCCTATTCGCAGAAGCTAAAGACCAGGGCAGCCTTTCAAGATCAAGCCGCGTCCCAATCACGATACAAGTTACTGATGTCAACGATAACTCGCCAGAAATAATAGACCCGAGGGAAGATGTAGTCAGTGTTAGAGAAGAACAACAGCCAGGCGCTGAGGTAGCCAGAGTGAAAGCTATTGACCGCGATAACGGAATAAATGCATCAGTTACATATTCCATTTTGAGTGAAAGGGACATGGATGGTTATGGAGTTTTTGTCATCGATTCAATTACTGGTGTAATAAAAACAAGCACTGGTAAGCATTTATCTTCTTAAAAATGCGGTGCGTAAATACGTGGAAATATATGGAGCGAGCATGATTTAAACTGATATTTTTTGTTTTAGTTCTTGACCACGAAGAGCGATCAATCTATCGATTGACAGTTGCAGCAACAGATGGAGGCAAACCGCCAAGACAGACTGTTAGACAGCTAAAAGTAGAGGTTCTGGATTTAAACGATAATAGACCAACGTTTACTAGTTCTAGTCTATCCTTTAAAGTGGGTATAGAACAGTTTTTTTAATTATATTTTTATTAAATATAGCGAATTAATAAAAATAACTACTACTTGTTTCAGGTCAAAGAAGACGCTAAGATTGGTCATGTAGTTGGAACAGTTTCTTGTTGTGACAGTGATATTCAGGAAAATTTAGTTAATGGAGATGAAGAAAAACAGATTTCATATTTACTGATGGCATTAACAAACGATCACGTACCAGGAACTTTTGAAATAGATAGACGCACGGGCTCTTTAGTTGTTGCGAGGCAATTAGACAGAGAAGTTCAAGATGAATATAGATTAGAAGTGAGGGCGTTAGATTCATCGGCCACCAATAATCCGCAAAGCAGTGCCGTTACTGTTAAGATTGAAATTATAGACGTTAATGATAATGCTCCACAATGGCCTGAAGATCCTATCAATTTAGAAATTTCTGAAATCACTCCCATTGGGATGATTATATACAACTTCACCGCTAAAGACGCTGATCTAGGTGTGAATGGAGATTTAAATTTTCATATCGTATCTTCCCTGCCACCGACAAAAACGGTTTTCAATCTTGACCCGTTGACAGGTTCACTGACTTTAACATCTCCTCTTGATTATGAAACTCTTAAAGAATATTGGCTTGTAATAGAAGCTACTGACCAAGCACTAAACACCTCTGAAAGAATGGCAACATCAGCCACTGTACATTTATCAGTTATTGATGAAAACGATAATATTCCTACTTTTGTATCGGCTACAAGGGCCACTGTATCTTTAAGCACTTTATCGGGAACTTTGTATCAAGCATTAGCTGTAGATGCAGATTCTAGAGATAATGGTAGAATATCATACTACATATCTGGTGGCAATGAGCATGCATATTTCTCAATGGATTACGACGTTGGTAAACTGACATTGTCAAAGAAATATTCTACAGACATTGCTCGAGTGCGACCCGGACTATACAAATTGAATCTAACTGCTTCAGATCATGGAGTACCTTTTCCTAGGCAAAGCCACATGACGTTATTGTTGAATTTGCAAGAATCAACCAACATTCCACCACGATTTACTGATACTTTCTATCGTGCTAATATCAGTGAAGACATTCGTCCAGGCAGCTTTGTGACCAGGCTAACTGCCAAATCTTCAAGAGGAAATACAGGTGATTTATATAACAATTATTTCGTTATTAGAATCTATAAAATTATAATAAAATAATATTTATATATTCATAAAATTATAGAGAGGAAATATTTACAGTTATTTTCGATATGTTTCTAACGAACAAACTCAAAAACTATAGTTACTATTTCAAAATTGATTTTTACCATTATAATGGTATCCCAAAATAACATATTTATGCTTTATTTTATCAAGTAAATATTAAATTTACCTATGCAAAGTTCGGTATTTATTAATAAAATTAACATTTGCACAATTAACTTGACTTATTTTTTTTTACAGGTAACCTAACTTATTTGATACCACCTGGTGTAGCAGACGACAAATTCACTATAGACCCGCGCTTAGGAACAATCACAGTCAAAATTAAAATTGATAGAGAAGAAAAAGACTATTATATTTTTCCTGTTTACGTTACTGACTCCAGTACATTTCAATCAACAACGAACTTTGATGTTGCAACTGTCTCTATCAGTGTAATGGATGTTAATGATAATCCACCTAGTTTCAAAAGTGGCTCATGCTATCCGTTGTCAGTTCCTGAAAACAACGATCAAGAAGTAGTTCATACTGTTGCTGCGATGGACAAAGATATTGGGGCAAATGGAATAATTACATACAGTATCACATCTGGAAATAACGGCAATAAATTTTCTATTGACTCTACATCGGGAAAACTCACCGCCAAAACGTTGGACCGTGAAACTCAGTCAAGATATCATTTGACTATTACTGCCTTCGATCATGGTTCTCCTGTAGCTTTGCAAGGCTCGTGTAATATAACCGTGGTAGTTGAAGATCAAAACGATAATGATCCCGTGTTCGATACCGGACATTATTCTGCCGCCATACCTGAAGATGCGCCTTTTGACACCTCTGTCATAAAAGTAAGAGCTACTGATGCTGATTTGGGATTCAATAAACGTATCGTTTATTCATTAGCTAACGAAAGCCAGGGATTGTTCCGAATTGACAATAAGACTGGTATTGTTTTTACCACTGGGTAAGTGTTCCTTTATGTGACATAATCGATAATGATGTGCTAACAACCGTATATTTTTTAGAATTTAAATAACATAAATTTATCGCTTTATTTACAGATATTTTGATAGAGAAAAAATAAACGTATATCACTTTGAAGCAGTCGCCACTGATGAGGGGCGGTATATTGCTCGATCGCAAAGGGTCTCTGTAGAAGTTACTATCAAAGATGTGAACGACAATAAACCAATCTTTACAAAGTATCCATTTAGGGAACAAATTGCCACACTTACTCCACCAGGGCAAAGTTTACTGCGGGTTTCAGCCACGGATAATGACATAGGGACTAATGCTGAAATCATATATGAATTATTAGATTCATCTAATCACAAATTCCGTATCAACCCAACGACAGGTGTTTTAACTGCAACTCAAAGCTTGGCCAGTGAAAACGGTAAACTAATTCATTTGAAAGTTGTCGCCAAAGATAAAGGACATCCTTTACAGAGTTCCGTTGGCCTTATTGAAATTCGAGTCGGTGATTTTTCTGATCATACTCCTACACTGAATTTTCAAAACGCCACATACAACATTACCATTGAAGAAAATATGCCGTTTGGCAGTAATGTATTACAAGTTACGGCTGTCAGAAGTGATGGGCGTCGCCAGAGAATTATTTATGAAATTGGCAATGGAAACGATCAGTATGCGTTCGAGATAGACTCTAACACAGGCGTTATAAGAGTGAACAATTCGGCAAATTTGGATTATGAATCTTATCCGGGACCGCGGAGGCAACTCGTTGTGGTCGCCCGAACTGACGGCCCGTCGGTCTTATACGGTTATTGCGAAGTAACAATAAATCTGTTGGACCAAAACGACCATGCTCCCAGATTTACGCAACAGCAATATATGGCGAACGTTCTCGAGGGGAATACAAAGGGCGAGTTTGTTGTGCAACTGGCTGCGAAGGATGGTGATCGGGGAGTAAACGCGAGAATCCTTTACCACATAGTAGACGGGAACCACGACAATGCATTTATTATAGAACCGGCATTTTCTGGATCGGTCAAGACAAACATTGTGTTGGATCGGGAGATAAGGGAAACGTATAAGCTGACAGTCATAGCCACGGACGAAGGAGATCCGCAAATGACCGGCACTGCCACCCTAAGGATCAATGTAGTCGACGTAAATGACAATCATCCGACATTCCCACCACCGAATCTTATCTCTGTATCAGAAGGTGAGTTTTTTACCCGTTTACGTATTCGGTTTTAAATTGCTGTAGAGCGGCCTATCGACTTTTCGAAATAAATTGGTAGAACAAAAAGCGATACACAAAGAGGGAGGCATTTTACATAATTTGTATTCTCGACTTCGCGACTGGCTTACATTGCGACTTTTCGATTCCAGCGCCGAGATTAAATAAAAAGGACTGCTTTAGGTTCAATATTTATTGGATGGTAGTACATTTTTTCGAGTGCATGTTTTAGCGGTGCCTCCGGAGTTCACGTGTATTCTGTTTTTTATTCCCGCCAATAGCGTTTTTAAGGAGTAAAGCGGTTTTTTTCTTGAATCAAATAAAAATCAGACGTGTATTACTTTATTTCCAGGAGCGGATGTTGGTACTGTACTCACATCTGTAACAGCAAACGACGTCGACACGTATCCCGCCTTAAAATATGCGTTGATACAACAGGACAACATATTTTCTATAGATAGATACAGTGGAAAGGTTGTTCTTAACAAACCCCTGGATTTCGAGTCGCAGAAAACGTACGAAATTAACATAACCGCCTCCGACAGCGAGCACGTTGCCAAAACAACTCTCACGATCAAAGTAACAGATGTGAATGACAACGCTCCTGTGTTCGACGATATATCTTACAACAGGATACTGCCAGGTAAGTTTAAACGGGACTGTTATTATTTTACTTCTGATTATCTTTTTTTAAATAAAAAAAAACAAATTCTCATTTCTGATATGTTTATTTATATGTAGATATAATGTTTTATTTATTAATAATCTTAAAACATATCTATGGCATTAACATCTTATCATTAAATCATACCTTGTTTACCTAAAATACTTCTTTACTTTATTATTCATGATTTGCAATTTTAAATAGACTTAATTTTATTTTTTAAGAGTTTTGGATGAGTAAATAAATTATTTACCGTGATTATTCAGTATACGTCTCTATTCATAAATCGAAAAAATGCTTAATGACATTAATTCGCTATGTTGAAATTTCCGTGTTCGATGATATGTTTATAATAAGTAAATAATAATTGATGAAATATACTTATTGTACCAATTGTTACTGATTACACGAAATAAGTGCTGAAATATTAGTTTTTTGTATTTCAGAAGGCAGCGGGACTCTGGAAATTGGTTCTGTGAAAGCAAATGATAGAGACAGCGATGAAAATGGGAAGATATCATATTCTATCCTTCGGCCAACGAGTGGCTTCTACATTGACGCTGATTCCGGAGCGATTTACGTGAATTACAGTGTATTACCGTCCAACCAACGTGATACTCAACTGGCAGTAGTAGCAACAGATCATGGAAAACCAAACAAAAGCGCTGTGGCAGCTGTTAGAATCAGTACTGGAGCTTCTTCAGAAATAAAACCGTTTATAGGCCAAGACACATACAGGTAGATATTGTACTCATTTTGGCTTCTTACTTTTTGCACTTACATATTAAAACAATAAAATGATAAACATTCAGACTATATCTTTATCTTCTATATCTTTTGACAGTGAATATTATTTTTTTTATATTATTTTATCGTTATTCATAAATGAGATTTAATAAAAATTGGATGATTCATTTAGTAAGCAAGTTAAATAAAATTATTAAATTATACTTTCTTTTATTGCACGAAAAATATTTAACAGTCTTTATTTAACTCCAATAAACTGCGAACTCTTAGAGCCTATTAATTCTTTATAATTTATTCTCCATTCAACATCTTCACAATTTTGCCTTTAAACATTTATTTTCTTTAATTTCAGAATCACAGTTAATGAAGATACAGAAAAAGGGTCGACACTTCTGCAAATAGGCGGCATAAACGATGTTTTCAAGAAATATAATTTGGATTTCCATATTATTTCAGGAAATGAAGGAGACACTTTTGACATTAATTCTCAGGGAGCTTTGATCCTTATTAACAATCTCGATAGAGAATCTCGAGATTCCTATATTCTAGGACTAGCCGCCGTAGAAGAAGGGAAAATACTATCACATAATCAAAATAAAACATCCATCACCGTATTGGTAACAGTAGCAGATTCAAATGATAATGCTCCAGTTTTCACTACAAATGATCTTGAATTTACAGTAAGCGAAAATGTAAAAATTGGTTATACACTGACACAAATATCAGCAACTGACGCAGATCTATACGGAACGCCAAATGCTGCAATTTCTTATAAAATCACTTCAGGAGATGATGAAAAATTATTTTACATTGACCAAGTCACTGGTATTTTGTCGGTTAATAAGACTCTTGATTATGACGTTGGAAACACTATTTACAAGCTTATTGTTGTAGCTTGTGATAATGGAGAACCATCACTTTGTAACGCAGTATACATAAATGTTAGTATATTGGACGAAAACGATAATATGCCTACGTTTCCAGTAAATGAATATTTTGAATCCATTGCTGAAAATGAGAGAGTCGGGACATCAGTATTTACTGCGAGAGCTACCGATCTCGATCGAGGCCGATATGGAAAATTAAATTATACCATAGTTTCTACTGCTGTTAACTACAACAGAAATGATGATTCTTGGAAGATGTTTCAAATAGATTCTGCAACTGGTTTGGTGAACACTAATGCTGTTTTTGATTATGAACAAAAGAATAAATATGAATTTTCTATAAAAGCCTCCGATGTAGGTGGTAAAAGTTCCACAGTAAAAGTACGAATCGATATAGAGAGCCGAGATGAGTTTTATCCACAATTCACACAGAAAACCTATAACTTCGGAATACCGAAATCAGGACCTTTACCAGCTGGATACGTTATTGGTCAAGCAACTGCAACTGATAGGGACAAGGGCATCGATGGCAGAATAGTATATCAATTGTCAACATCACACTCTTATTTCAAAATAAATCGTACTACTGGAGTAATCATATTGAAAAGAAAAGTAGAATCTGTGTCTAATCTTTTTGGTTCTGATAAATCAATCAGTCTGGTAGTAACAGCAAGTTCTGGAAGACAAGGCTCGTTAACAAATAAAACTGCTGTGGAAATTTTATTAGATCATGAAGCTTTATTATCAGACACAACAAACCAAATAAACGATGCATCTGTTGGATCAAGTGGCGGTCTCTCAGACTGGGCATTGGGACTTCTTATAGCATTTATATTTATTATCATCATCTTTGCTGCTGCATTTCTCTTCCTTCATATGAAAAACAAGAGACACAAAAAAGTTAATAAACCAGGGTTAAATTCAGAAGGTGTGGGTGCAACCAATAGTTATGTTGATCCAAGTGCTTTCGATACAATACCTATTAGGAACACCGGCACCGTCAATCCAGGTCAATTTGCTCCACCCAAATATGATGAGATTCCACCTTACGGTCCCCATACAGCTAGTTCAAATTCAGGAGCAGCAACTACTTCGGAACTATCTGGCTCAGATCAATCAGGATCTAGCGGGAGAGGCTCTGCAGAAGATGGCGAAGATGGTGAAGATGAGGAAATTAGAATGATTAATGAAGGCCCGTTACAAAGAGAATCAGGTATCCATAGACAATCAGATGATGATAACCTATCTGATGTATCGGTTCATAATACTCAAGAGTACTTAGCACGGCTAGGAATAGTCGATACAGGGACAGGTGGTGGTGCCTCCACCTCTTCTAGGAGATGTTCTGAGAATGTAGTTAACAAAGATACGATGCTTCATCATGGACCTATAAATTCAATGCATATGTTTGACGAAGATGGTGCTCACGAAAACGATATCACTAATTTGATTTATGCTAAGCTAAACGAAGTGACAGGTAGTGAAAGAGCCAGCAGTGCGGATGAAGCTAGTGCAGCAGTAGAAAGAGCAATGGCTTTAGGTGCCTTCCCGAGTGCTTCCGGGGATGGAACAGCAGTTCCCACCGCAGGACCTTCAATGACAGGCAGTTTAAGTTCTATAGTACATTCAGAAGAAGAGCTCACAGGTAGTTACAATTGGGACTACTTGTTAGACTGGGGGCCACAGTATCAACCGTTGGCTCATGTGTTTTCAGAAATTGCCCGTTTAAAAGATGATGCCGTTTCGTTACAAAGTGGTAATAGTGGTGCATCCAGTGCGAAAAGCAAAGGGACTTCTATATCGGCTGGTAAAAGTGTTCCACCTCCTTTGTTAACAACTGTAGCCCCTAGAAGTTGTCCTGCCCCTTCACTATCTTGTAGGCAGCCTCAACATTTATTACCTAGGTCACCAATAAGTCATGACGTGCCTGGAGGTTTTTCTGCAGCTGCTGCTATGTCACCTTCCTTTTCACCATCATTATCACCATTGGCCACAAGGTCACCCTCTATGTCACCGTTAGTGGGTCCTGGCTTACCTCCAGCACCAGGCAATAGGAAACCTCCACATTCAACTATGCGAATATGATCACTTTTGTATTATTCCTTAGGGTATTGTAAATAATTTGTAATGACTGTTTACCTTAAGTATTTGTAGTAATATTTATTGATTACCGATGTAATCGGATTAGTTTTCTGATGTCATTTTGCGCATCCGCCAAATTGGACTGCCTTGATTATGCTCAAAATGATGTATTAAGCGCTTATACCGATTTTACGGTAAATGTATATAATAATCTTCATTCGGGTTGTAATAATAACTGTAAATATTAGACTGTATATTTTAGTGCCTTGTATAATATTTAAATGAAGACTGCCATGTTATATTATTATTATTAAACAAACGGAACAGCTTTACATTAAGCTATAAGTGTATTTTTAGATATTGCAATTTTTACATAAGCTTTATTGAAATCATGTATTTTTTAAATGCAGTCACAAACATTGCAACTTTTGTGGTTAAAGTGAAACTATTGTGCATATTTAAAATTCTAGAAGACCATCTACTTGGTATCAATGTACTGTGATTTTCGACTAGGTATGCATGTTTTGTATAATATTCGAAATTGTATGTATAACTTTGATTTTGCCTATTTGTGAAGTGATACTATCACTATGTGTCACAAATTTCAACGGGTAGTTGAGTATAATGTAAATAATGTTCATAAATCTTTTTAAGTGTCGACTATCCGTGGAGAATGTAAAGGAAAATAAATAAAACCTTAAAAATTAAGAACTGTTTCATTTCTTAAAGTCCACAAAAGAACATTATACAATGGAAAGAAAACAAACGATACAAATATCACAGTTGGATCTAAGTCTATCAATTATGAAATGAATGAACAATTTCACACACGCTTAATTGTTGTTTTTGTATGAAAACATATCAATTTACAAAGAAATGTACTCCAAATTAATGTCGAAATAACATATGGGGATTCATTTAAGTAGCTTGTTTGGTTACAAAATGATTTTGAAAATGAGGCCTTAAATCCAAGAATTGCCTTAACACTAAGTCTTATGTATAAATAAGTAGGTACATAAGTTGGATTATTTATCAGTCTGTGTATTTAGAAAATTTATAATATTTAAGCTAAGAGTTGCCATATGTCCTGGTGTTCCACAAGTCGATACTTAAATTAACTTTTCTAATTTTATAAATTAAATAAACCTGGCGGACAGGCAGCTCGTTTGCCTCCATTAACATAAAAAACCTGTTTTGCTCTGTCTCAATTTGAAAATTATGTATCTTTTACTTAAAAACATTCAATTTTATCTTTTTTAATTATAATAATAGCATTTTTTGTGTAATCGTAGGTTTATTATAGTTTACACAGATTACGTTAGTTTATTTGGAATTTATGTTTTAAAATCCATTGTCAATTTACACTTATGATACAGTAGCTGTAATAATAGACTGATAAATTGATCAATACCCTAGAACTACGCAATCACACGCCCTAATTAACACCATTAAAGCACGCTTGTTTCATTATTGTGAATGCCAATTTTACTATTTGGGTTAGTTATTATCATATTCAACTAAAATTACTGACTATTCATGATACATGATTCATCCTAACGATATGAGATATTAGGTGTCTTAATATTAAAGTCTTTTTATACCTTTATTGACTCTGATTATATCAAAATCCTAAGATACATTTAATATATAAACAGGTAAATTAGATAGAAAATTGTAATATTAGGCATTTTAACATCAATTAGCCCTATCATATAAAAGTAAAAAGTTTTGAGCACTGAGCTCATCTAAGAAATTTTGTAAGAATTTAATAGAAATAACAATTGTTGTGATTACATTCTTAACAGTGACGAGTCTAAGACAGTAGAATAATTAATTAACACACATCTACGTTTATTAGCAATTATCATAGTCGTGATGTTGAAGATGATTTTGAAATTATTGGCAAATTTGGATAGTATATAAAAATAAACGATCATATAAGAAGGCATAATTATTAATAACATTGACCAACATTTATACCGAATAATATAAGCCAATGAATGGATACTTAATATATATATTTAGAATAAAATCCTTTCGATTGTTATTCTTGACAAAGATGACGATAATCGTCTTATTTTTCATCTAAATGATAAAGATGATTAATTTTTAGACTTCCACTCTTTAATAATATACAAGACAACGCAAACAAATGATAATTTTGGCCCAGATTCTGGTATGATTGTCTAAACCTAAAACTAAAATTGAGAACATATATAACATATCTCCTTTTGATACTTATAGAGCATGACACAGATACACTGTTGTCAAATTAAATCTTAGCTTTAGAGAATCGTATCAGAATCAGGCTCTTATTTAATTAAACTAAAGTTCGAAAGAGATTCAGAGGATTGGAAATAACAAATAGCAAAAAATATATATAAAATTCAGCTTTTACTATAGAGAGGCTTAATTATAAAATATGGTCAATAATAATGAAATTGTAGACGATTTTCTTTGGTATTAGATACATTGACTCTTATCAAAGTAATAATTTTCTAGTTAAACTTAAGGATTAATGTAATTCAAGAAATAATTACAAATACTGCCTACATATTCGGCTAACATAAGATATCCAGTGAACTGCAAGTTGTACCATCAAATACAAGTGAAACATTAATAATAGTACTTATTACAGACAAATAAAATCAAAGACAAATAAATAGTTTAAGTTCAAATAAATAAATAGTAGGGTTTAGTTATAGTTTTTTAAGCATTTAACTGCTAAAAGTTTAAATACAATTTATTATTTTTTCTAGTAAAATTTTCTTTCAATAGTTTTGGTTGAAAATTATTTATCTTCATTTGTTTCTCAAACTAGAACCACATCTCGAACCTTAAATAAGTTTGAAACTTTCGAGTGTCTGTAAATTGAAACGCTACTTATAATCCAGTAATTGTTTATGTCCTACCTTGAACATAAAATGTCTTTTGTTATATTATTTTTGACAAAAAAAAATATTCACGCAGATCATTTACTAAATAACACTTAGTGGCTTAATACATGTTGTGAACTTATTATACTTATATTCTGAATGAAGCTTAATTATAACAAACCTAATACAAACCATTATAATGTATCGACTTCAAATCCACTACTAATGCTTCTACTACACATGACATTCGTATTTGCTATTTGTCATTTTGGCAGCAGTAAGTCCTTTACATGCTCTATAAGGAAAGCTTCTGTCAAGTACAACAAATACGCATACCTATGTGAGATGCCGGCAAAACAAACTATTGCATAACTATTGCTGAACTAGATTTGGTTTGAGACAATAACATTGATCGCTTCACATTTTCCAAAGAAGATATCTAAAAAGTCAGGTTCAGGACTAAATTTGCAAAAACGAGGATCAATTGAAAAAAAGAAGCCATGTAGACCAAAGTATCCTAAGAAACTATTGCATTACCTACTGAACTCGATTTGATTCTACGCAATAACATTAATCGGCTTGCATTTTCCGAGGAAAACCGCAATAAGATCTTTGTTTCAAATCAAGGATTTCATGAAAAAAATGGTGTAGATTCAAAATTAAGTTCTCTTTATAGAGATGCAGTGATTTCCGTAATTTAACGCTTTGCATTTTACAATAACAGCTGCAATTTGATATTTGTAGAATCACTACCAAATTTACCCAAACTCGATAACCAATTCAAGAAAGATATGGTGTGGATTTAGAGCTGTATCCTCTTGATGGAGTTGCAGTGGTGTTCATAATTTAACAATTTGCATTTTTCAAAGAATACTGCAATAAAACCCTGTTTTAATCAACACCAAATTTACCCAAACTCGAGGACGAATTCAAGAATAATATGGTGTAGATTCAAAGCTAAATCCTCTTGATGTAGTTGCAGTGGTGTCCAAAATATAACAATTTGCATTTTTCAAAGAATACTCTGCATTAAAATCGTTTTTGGATCAATAACAAATTTACCCTCAACTTAAGGACCAATTCAATAAAGATATGGTAAATTTCAGAGCTAAATCCTTTTAATGGAGTTGCAGTGGTGTCCGCTGTAGTGCATGTCGATGATGACGTCATCGGAAGCGATAGACTTCCTGCTGGGCGTCACGATGCCTAAATCTACCTCTGTGTTTAGGGTCGGAGTGGTGCCGTTATTGCCTGGCTCCTGGATAAAACGTAGAAAAATAAGGGTTTAATATTAATAATACCGACGGATACAAAATCTATTCCTAACTATACTAATACTAATTTTACTATAAATGTGAAAGTGTGTCTGTTTGTTTCCGCTGTCTGTCTGTCTGTTTAAATCGCTGAACCGATTTAGACGAACTTTTAATATAGACATAGTAAAATTCCAGGGAAAAGTCATGGGTTGGTTTTTATCCTAGTAATCACCATTTAAGTAGGTGGAATAGAGCTGGAAGTTGGTACCTATTTGAAACAAATTATTCCACGAAGATGAAGTTGTTGAAAATGTATTAAAATTAGTAAACTCGAAGGCGCTTTATGTTTTGTAATTAGGAAGCACCGGTCATAAAGTGATCAAAACTTTACCATCTCGAGTCTCAATATCTTAAGTATCTTGAGTCCATCTGGAATTTGAGCTGGGCGTTACGATGCCTAGATCAGCGTGGTACTATTAGTGCCTAGCTCTTAGATAAAATGAGGAGGAATTTAGGTTACTCAAAACCCTAATAAGATTTAGGTAAACCAGGCTCAGATTTACAAAAACGAGAAGCAATTTAAAAAGGAAGAGGTTCACAATTAATCACTCTGAATGCAATTGATGAACTCAATGCCGCTTTAAATTTAGTTATTATAAAGCTCTAGTGATGAAACAGGTGGTCAAAAATTTCGTAGCAGTTTGATTCTTAGAATTTCGGAAGGCACTTTAAAATCTTGGTCCCGGCTGCATATTATGTAGGCACAATCCACACGCTCCTGTGTACTCTCTTTTCCATCTATAAGAAAAGATTATGCAGGGGCATATCTCTATTTTAATAAGCAACTCGTAACACAAGCTATTAGGATCCTCTTTGCAGGGGTAAAGATGACCATAATAGAGTGGTGGGTGAAGATTATAAAATATAAAAATTATGATATTTTCTTTATATATTGGTGTCAAATCATTTCACTTTAGGCTCAGTAAATTGACACACAGCTTCTTCTGAAGGTCTGATGCGATAGTTATCGATGCCACTGAGCTCGAAAGAAATAAAACAACTTGGTGGCGTGGTAGTAAGCTCACTTTCTATATATTTACTTTATTCAAAAAATAAATTTCGATGCTGTATACCAAGCCAAGCATCTGATCTCGTTTATTGAGTGAGTGTTTTAAATCAATGAGTTGTAAACATATAAATATCTGTTCTGTTACTAAATCTATTAATAGAATCAAGAACAAATGAAATGAAATGAAACCTTTTATTGGCCATCCTAACAAAAGAAAAACTTATAAATACAACAATAAAAATAAAATAAAAATCTAAGAGGCAGGGTCTGCCTCAGCTTATGCTGACACAGTGAGAAAGTATTTTCTCAAATCAGAAATTAGTTTTTAATAGATGATGATAATAGAACTTACATTAGAGATTGCGTCGCAAGCCATCAGCTCGTTCTTAGACAGATGTTCCACAACAGCAGCTGCGTAACAATCGCCCAGCATATTGTTGGTTGTGCGTATACGATCACTGGAATTCAAATATGATGAATGAAAACATAGATTTCCATTACTTTTTTTTTATTGTATTAATAAACTGTTAGATAGTTAATATCTTAAGAAATATTTTAAAAGGATTTAAAATATATTTGGCGCAGGTATCACGCTGGAATAAAAGCAGCATCTTATGCTTTCGGTGAGAATCACAAGTGTATTAACCGCTGTGCTTCCAATACCTTCGCCCATGTCAAATTGCTGGTACTAGTTTAGTAGTGTTACTTCTGTTGATGATAATCAACACTCAATATCAATTATTACGAGGGAACTATTAAGAATTCTCGAGAATGCGCGACGATTTTCCGGAAGACGTGACCATTTTTTCCATATTTAGATTGAATGTTATGCAATTGACATAAAGTTCTTTGTGCTCTACACGATTTCGTTGCAAATTTCGCAGCGGTATAAATCAATTAAGGAGCTCGATGGCGCAGCTGGTTAGCGCGTTCGGCATGTCATAGTGGAAGGAAAGCAACTTTCGCAATGGCCGGTCATTGGATGGGTGACCAAAAATTTATTATCTCCAGCTCCGTGCTTCGGAAGGCACGTTCAGCTGTTGGTCCCGGCTGCATCTGCAATCGTTAGCACCCACCAATCCACATTGGACCCGCGTGATGGGGGTCATGGCCCAATCTACCTATTCCATCCGTATGTTCCCCCTAGTCCTACGGTAGAACTAATGAGTTTCTTTTTCTCATTAGTTCTATGATTTTATATGTTACAGAACAGTAGAACTATTGGAACTCTTTTTTCCCACTTCTTCTATCTGTTATCTACGGTAGAACCAATGGCAGATTTTGTTCCCAAAGGTCCTTCGTTGTGATATGTAAATAGTGGAACTAGTGAAACTTTAGTTCCATGCAGTTCTACTCTGTGATATCTATAATTTCTCATTTCACTTTAAAGTGCACCTCAATCATTTTAAATATAAAGTTTAACAGCATAAACATTTATTAATGAAAAAACATTACTAGTGGGATCATAGGCATACGATTCCATAGGGAAAGTGCCACAGTATCAATAGGCCGATGATAATGATTAATTGAGCTTTTGTGGTCATCACTCACACGAGCCAGTCGACTGCGAACAGCAGCGATACATCGTGCGCAGGCGCGTCCAGTGCTGCCAGAACTACTAGCAGAAGCACCAACGCTGCTGACGGTACTGATGCTGATGACACTGATGCAGCCGTGCATGTCAGGCTGAAAGCAAACAGATATTTATTATGATATACATTAAAACGATTGAAAACAATCGTCTGATACTTAGAACATCTTGTCCAAGACTATGAACATTAACACGGAAAAAGTAGAGTTTCTTAAAATCTGACACACGCCATTCCGGTGACGGCGAGGAAGAGAGCGGTGCCGTCTATGTTGATGTTGCAGTCATTCATATCGAAAGCCTGTGCCCTAGTATTCGAGACACTAATAGGCTGATGTAGATTAGTCTTTTGTTTATTTATTTTTCAAATATTTATTTAAACAAAAGAAAGTTTCATTCCGTATTAACTCGGCAAGTGGCGGGAATTCCAACGGTATCAAGTTCATCTGGCAGACGAACACGCTGGCGACTGCGAGCCAACCATATGGAAAGCCTGTGCCCCATCATTTGATGACTTTTATAGGCTGCTGCTGATGATTACTCATAAGATATTGGCGGGTTGCGGGATCCAATGGTATCAAGTGAGGAACAGCTCCGTGCCATCCATTTTGATCTCGCAGCTTTACTAAGGGAAGACCCCAGCATTGGAGACATTGATGAGCTGACGATGATGATTACTCACAAGATAGTGGCGAGTTGTGGGAACCCCAGAGGTATCAAGTTCATCTGGCAGACGAACATGCTGGCGACTGCGAGAAAGAGCGCCGTGCCGTCCATGTTGATGTTGCAGCCGATGGGCAACACGAACCGCGTGATGCGCGGGTCCACGCGCAAAGGGCCTTCCATCGCGCGGAACGTTACTGGGAGTGCTGCGGCACTGGAAATTTAAGACATATCCATACCTTTAATATTCCTATATTCATATCTTCAAGGACCGAATGATTCCACTAGATTATCTAGACACTTAATAATGAGGAAAATGACGAAGACAAAAATTATTACTTTAACTTTTATGTTCTTAAAGTTGGTAATAATTATTGTTAAAGAAAATTATACTAGAAATGAAATAGAGTCTCACCTGCGGCCTGGTTCGCGTGGATTTTTTTCTTGTAAAATTTTCTTTAGATTTAAACATCTAGCAGTTAAAAGCTTAGAAATTAAAATTTTGCTATTTTGAGTAAAAATGCTCGTATTCATCACGCAAACATTTGCCCCACCAGGATACCAACCCGGAACGTCTCAAGTAAGCGACACTTTGAAACCCGAATTACAAACTTGGTCGACCATCCTTGGTCGAATGGACGATCTCCTGATCGTCAAAACTGTTTTGACTGTCATCAGTGACCCAATCATCTGTAAACGCCGACGTTGCTATTTCAATAACTTTGTGGAGTTCCTTAAGCCAGGTCTATAACATGGTCCGCTTTAAGCGAGTGTTCCACGAAAGGCAGCGAGATGGCTGTGTCACTGGCATTGCTCATGACCATGGGCGACGGTGACCACTTAACATCAGGTGGTGGTATCTCCTCGTCTGCTTTCAAAGCCAATTAAAAAAGCCAGCCAAATCCACAGCTAAAAGAATCTTGAACTTGCAGTACGGAAGAAAATAAAACTATTAAAAAAAAGAGTATCTATAATCTTTTCTACCGAATCAAAAATTACTTTGCTTCGAATCGGCAAACATTTTTCTCAGTGAAATTATGGCGTAAAACACACTTCTAAGTACAAAAGGAACAAAAGTGATAATTAAAAGTATGCCATTTCCAAAGTAAAATTTGTCGACGAAATAAATAATCAGCGTTATCAAAATATTTAACAAAACCAGATGTAATGAAGTACGATGACGAAACTTGGTCTTTTAATTTTTATAGGAAAGAAATGGGTCTTTCTTTATATACATTACAAGAATTATATTTTGTCTTGTAAAAACTCCTGAATTCTATGAACTAAATAATTTATCTTTGAATGAAGTTAGTTCTTAAATACTTACGTAGATGCAGTTGCAGAAGCCGTCAACATTGCATGAGATAATCCCCAGTAGAATTTGTAAGGGTTCTTCCTCAACACTACGAAGTATATCAGCTGCATTACAATGAGCTGGTAAAAGAAAACCCCGACCGCCACTGTAGCTATGAACCAAGCCAATTGAGACATAACTTGCGCTGGAAATAAAAACGTTCAAAAATTTTATAAAATCTGAAAATTCTTAGAAATATATGAAAAGGAAGAAAGTAATCTGAATATTCTTAGAAATACGAGTATATGGCCCTAAAAAAGAAGGCCCTATGAACAAGCTAGAAGCCTCTTTTGTGCATCTTTTGACTTTAATCTGGATAAAAATGGAAGAGTTTGTAAACGAGGATTAAACTATAATTCGAATGAAAAATGTTGGTGTTCTAAATTCAAACAATGGAAAAATCTGGAACAGTATGCTAAAGAAGGTAAAGCCTTCATTTGGATTAACAGTGTGGGTGGAAGAAAGAAATAGGTTTCGGATAAAACTATAATTGAAATCACAACGTTATTACGAATTACAGTCAAAGATTTCTTCATAAATAGGCAACACTTACCGACATTACTAAGTCCCAAAATCTTGCCAGCGATTACGCTGCTAACACCCACAGGGGTTAACCACATGACTCCCGTAACCATCTTCATGATGACCTCGAATATGGCTTGGAAGAAATCGATCACTACTTTCCCTTTAGGTCCTAGGGTACCGAGTAGACTGCCGAAGACCAAACAGAAGAATACCAAGCCCAAAGTGTTGGTGCCTGATCTGAAAATTTGCAATTGCTTAACTTTGAATAATATAAAATGATGTATACACAAATAAATGCGATAGATTTGCAAGTGTACTAGTGGAGTGAAAATTTGCTGATTACGTTTATCAAAACAAAAGGTACAACTTTATTAAGACACGGAAAAATAAAAAAAAAACGTTTATAGATGATATGTTTTGTTCTAAACCTGTTTAATGTGCAGAGTCGCAGACAAGCGCCTTATTTCAGGCAGCCAGAAAATGCGAACAACATATAAATATAGTTTTAGATATTTGTATCCCTGTTACAAATGACTTAATATTTGATGTAATTGTTGGATTAAGTAGCATTTATAAATGTATCACAAACCTGTAAGAAATAACACGTACTAAGGCTGGCACCGTATCGTTTTCACTTGCATTTTTACCAAACAGTGCCGGAGATTCAGCATATACTGTGTGTGCTTGTTGGAATGCAGCCTGTACAATATTATCAGGAAATATGTTTCTGCAATCAGAAATACAAAATGCACTATAATTATGACATTCGTGAACAAAATTCTAGTGGATTACTTATTATAAACAATCAACAAACATTCTTCGAACAATTTTAGCTTTTTAAAGAAAAATATTTTTACCTTCCTATATCCAAAAGACTGTCCAAAATGCTGTGATCCCTTCTACCAATTGTTACACCGATCGAACTATCTCTCAAATCTGGTTTTCCTGGGTGTATTAATGTTGCTACAAGAATTCCCAGAGAAGCATTGAACATAGACGTCAGAATAAAATATAATAGAGTCCTGACCGCAATCTTGCCGCTCATCTTGGCGTTCAGGCTCGCAGAGCCCGCAATAAGGCTGGCGATTATTAAGGGCAGTATCATTAGTTTCAACAACCTCATGAATAGCTCTCCAGGATATGATATCATCATGAGTGCATCTGGACCGAGATCGTAGGGGCGAAGACCGAATCCTGAAATTTACCGATGTAAATACACATATATCACAAATAAGAAGGTCAATATAGTATCAGATTGAATATATTCGTGAATATTAAGATATACATCAAAATGAAAAAGTTATAAAATAAAAAAAACGAAACATTGTTCAGAATGCTCTAGTATGACCAAGAACTTTTTTGAATTGCATCCATAAACTTGCACTCAATATTATTATATTCATAACGGTAATTCAAATTTCACAGTGTTCAATATATATGTATATATAGTGAATATTGAAGTCTTTATCCTATTTAACACTCACCTAAAGCAATGCCGGCAATGACACCAACTAGCGTGATCACCAACATGATGTTGTCAATGAACCATTTTCTCGCGCCGGTCGGCTCGAATGGCGCCATCCGGTCTTCCGTGGTCTTCGTCCCACCGTCACCAGGACCCATCTTCGCGAACAAGTATTCTGAAAACCGTTCACTTTTCTCCATTACAAGTAGGAGTGGACTCTACGGCCCAGATCGTATGATCTGGTTTCCTTTAGCCTCGACTGTCTTTTTTGCAGCTTTTTTGTTTTGTCCTGTATTGGTGAATTTGTTTTCAAAAGTTGTGGGTTTCACGATTTAGATTTAGATCAGCATTCTTTTGTTTTGGGTTTTCGTTTGTTTATATTTCACCAGTTTAATAACTGTAAAGTTGTCTTTGAAACGCTTTCGGGGTTTTATTGGAGTAAAAATACACGCAAGTTAATATCATTTCCTGGTTCACAGTGAATGTATGTCAATGCAGTCTACATGAATCCTTTCATGAGACTAAGGTGCAGGTTTGGTGCTATACTACAAGCACTAAGTCTATCTCTTTATCTGAATTGTCACCATAAGTATTACTTCGCGCGGTATCTATTGCTCGTTTTATTTCGAGACCTTGTAAAAAGCGCAGGTCAACGGGGCATTGGATTGTTAAGGGAACGGCTCAACTATCGACCGCAATGTTTCTGGGTGGAGTAAGGAAGCCATGTTGCAGAATGCGCGCGCATACATCGATTTGCTTAGTTCCATTCACTTAGCTGTATTAAAATTCTATAAATAGTTTATTAAATTGTGAGTATTATAGTCACTTGGAGGTTTCGAAATGCTTGAGATAGTTATACAACCAATTTAAAACAATTTATCTAAATACATTTTATGTTTATCTTTCTACGTAGTTGAAATCCTCCGTGTTTATGCTATTACCAGAACAACTTAGATAATTAGATTAAAAGTTTGTTCTGAAAAGAAACTGTCTTTTTAAGACAATCTAAATTTAAATAAGTATTTCATGATACAAAAGGATTGTCATTGAAATGTGTTAAATATCTTGTCTGGAAAACTTTATGACGAGATCATGTTGGCAATCAAAATAAGTTTAAAAACTACTTTGTGTAAGTTTTATAGTCCAAACTATAAATAAAATATTTTAAAAATGAATGAATAGGAAGTCTCTGTGTTTGGGTTCACGCCAACATTACTTGAGATCGTTGATGACCGAAATATACTAAGTCTGTCTCCTAACACATATTTGTAATTATATATTAGATTGTATTAAAATTATCGATTTTGGCAAATAATGATAAAACTTGCGCAGTATCATTATTTTGAATACTCATTAGTTCAAACTCAAAATCATTTTATTATTAGGTTAGGGATAAAGTTTCTTCGCATTTTTACGAAAGTTTATTTACATTTAACTAAAGTATGTAGGTAACATTTTGTTCGATAACTTTTTGCCATCTTAAAGGTAGGGACATGATCCCATTGCTATAGAAATGTTGGGGCTTCTGATCAAAAAACCGTGACGGGTAGTTTTGGCAGTCCTCTCATAAAGTTTAACTGAAACTGCCCAAATAATTCTGAAAATATCGATACAGGTGGAAATCTGAAAGTGCAAGGACAGGACTATATGACAGATGCATTAACTCCTCCCAGTCAAACTCTTTCACACCCCTTCTCTTGATTAATTCCGGCCGCTTTTTCTCAACTTCTTGCTTTAATCTCATCAGTTGTTTGCAGAAGAGTTCAGATGTGATAGTCCTGCCTGGCGGTAACAGCTCATAATGAATTATGCCCTTCCAATCCCACCATACATACAGCATCACGTTGTGGTGAGTTAACCCGAGTTTCGCTAGAGTCTGTAAAGCCTGACCGGCCTTTGACCACGACCTTTTCGCACGTTCTTGTCGTACGTGATCAACTTTTCATCACCAGTTACCAGCTTCTTTAAAACTGGGGTGTTTAAATCTGAAGAAAATATGACCGAACAAGAAAGACAAAGATAAAACGCGTCAAAGTTTGGGAGAGGGGGCTCGTGACGTCACTTCTGAGTAAATATTGAGATAACGACGTATTACAGATGATTCGCAATGATCCTCGAAAAACACTTGTAGACATGGCTCAGCAGTAAACGGGGCTATTATAGTTCTTTAATATAGAGTGTTATCACCTTTTTGAAAAAGCAAAGTACCACCAAGCTCCAGCCCAGCGCCTGGCGTTATGCCTTCGTGAATAATGGAATTAAACAATTGCTGATAGATCTCTGAATCATCCCCTTCAGCCTAGTTGTTTACAACCATATTAATCTCGTATAAGCTGACATCCGGTTTATCTTCAGTATAGTGTCGGATTAATGTAGCTATAGGTTCTTTAACCAAATCATCAACAGGTTTCTGTGTTAAGGTTTATAATTGTCCAAAGAAGCTCTCGATTTCTTTCAAAATCTCAGGCGGTCTTTAGCCATTTTCCATTTTCGGTCTTCAGCCTCGTCAGCTGATAACAGACAAAATTCTCTCGAACAGTTTTGTGCCTTTTTTGTTTTTATGGTAATTTTAATTCTCCCGGTATTAAAGAACCTAAGGTCACGTGACTGTAACTTGGAGCAATGCCTATTAATTTACCGGTACGTTACTGAAGAAAAAATACGTGTCCATACGTGCCCATCATACTTTTAGATAATCTACCCGATAGACAAAGAAAAAAATGTTTGTCATCATCCATATATTATTTAAGATTGATTACTAAGAAAGACAGATTTTCAGAATACTACAATACATCACCATCTCGGTACAGAGATTTGCACAAGAAACTCGTGATTAGTGCCAACTAATAATACTGTCCACGTGCCTACTAAAAATACAATACGACCGAGACGTTCAGTGCTTGGTAGCTTGTCTCTTGGATAGAAAAGCGCATTATTCGTTCAATGATCTCCGTGCACTATTCGGAATCTTTTGAGAACACTCGTATTATTGAACTTATAAAATGCAATTGTTTGATCATGAGGTGTCTTTTCAAGTCACGTGTTTATCGTTGGTTTTCTGATTGTAATGTTATCTCATATTTTGAGGGTTCTGTATTTCTAAAGTTAATAACGAAACCTTTTTACAACTTTTTTATCCGTCTGGAGTAGGAGGAGATGTTAAGTTGAAATTTAAACCATACACTTAAGTCTATACTCCCTTGAAGCCGTGAAAAAAAGTTAAGTTCATGGATCTAACTAATCTAAGGCCCGTATTATGCCCGAACGTGGCTCAAGCAGCATTTAAATTCGAATCACAGAAATCTAGTTTTAAGTGTAGATCACTAAATTGCTCAGCATATTACAGACCGCGTTTTAAAAGCAAATATAAGCTGAAACTAAAATCATAAGTCGTTTTGAATTCCGATTAAATTTGTTTTGGGCTAAGTATGTTTTCAATAACGCTTTGAAAATATAGAACATAGCGGTATGTCAAACTTCATAAACTCGCGTTGCAACTCTATCTTCTTAAGAATGGTGTCGACCATACTTAAGTAAATTTTAATTTAATCTTTGCTAAAGCGTAGATATTGACGTTTCTGAAATAAGCAATTACTCAGCTGAGTTTTGATCAATGTTTATGTTTCAAAAACATTTTAAAGTTAAATTTCGTTATTAAACTACTTTTTAAACTAGATTTCTTACTTAGAACTGTACTTTAATACGGGCGTTAGTCATTGTCTAGACTCTGGCCCCCTTATTAAAAAACGAGTAATAAGCTTAGACTAGTCTGTTACGCCGTGTTTTGTTCATGACACTCAAGTGTCATTTGTAATTCAATAAATCGAGACCAAGCATAGAGTATCTATTGTCATCCAATCTCATTCGTAGTTTATTAATAAATAATAAGTTCCAAAATGATGGCCGGAAAAAATAGTCATATTTTGCACTTAAGGAGATTAAGACATTTCCAATTTCCAATGACACTAGCTAGCCCCCACTGAACAATCCTGGAACACTGCAATGAGCACAGTGTCTATGGACAAGTAAAGTTGGGCCATTAACAGCTTCCAGCCATTTAAGGCAGCCGGACCAGCTGGCATCTTTTAGGCGCTGTTTCAATGGGCAGGTGAAGCGATAATCCTTATCCTGGTCTCTGGAGCTCTGGAAGCTCTGGAGAGAGGTCAAGGTAATCTTCATACCAAAGCCAGGTAAGGAAGACAACAACGAAGCGAAATCTTTCAGACCAATAAGTCTCTCATCATTTCTGCTAAAGACCTTAGAAAGACTGTGCGACAGATAGCTGAGAGACAACCAATTAAAAATGGGTGCGTGTACTTATGTAGGCGCGTGAGAAGTTATCCTTCTTTGGCATCGTTTAAAATTAGTTTTTAATTGCATGCAAATAATTAATTACAATAAATTAATAAAAAGTCTGGAAAAGGACACAGTCAATAAAGTTCAGTTTTAATTTGAAAAAATAAATAAATAATCAAAATATTCAATTAAAATCGCTACTGAATATAATTTATTAGAACATATGTGATTTGCACTTGTATGAAACTCAAACACGTATTCCGAATATACAAACTAGAAACATGTGGATAAATATTATAAACTAGCGGCCCGCCCTCGCTTCGCTTCGGTGTAGAGCTGAAGTGTAGACTACAGTTTTTGTTCTCAGGCTTGTATTATACACAATGACATTCATCTATGATTCTTCTTATACCTGCATGCAAAGTCTCAGCCCGATCGGTTTAAAATTGATAAAGTTTCATACAAACTTTCATTCCTTATTTTATCCCCTTGGGATTTTCTTTATATTTTTTTCCGTAAGAACCTTGTACAGAGTATTAGAAAACTACAAAAAAAAAACAGCCAAATCGGTCAAGCCGTTTTCATGTTATGTCGTGACAACGGAAAACGGGTTTCATTTTTATATATATAGATATGAAAACAGTCTCTGTTCTAAATTCAAAACTCGTAACTTTTCCCGATGTTTGTTGTACGTGTTTCCCGCGCTAGGACCGCGAGTGGCCGCGCATGCGTACGGTGCGGCGGGCGACGCGGTAATGGCAGCGCGGCACATGAAGTTGGTCGCTAAAGCGACCAACTTCATGGTGTTAATTTTTTGTGTTACAGATGCGCGCGCATCTTAAAATTTCACCCTCATAATTTTTTTATAACGCGCCTAAA